TACAGTATTGTAACAAGAACTTAATATTCAATAATATCAAATTACAAAACATCCAAATAAAATAGGTATTTTGAAACAAACTCATTGATATTATTTTGGAGAATCATTTTGGATAAGAAAATCTCCAGAAAATCAATGAGTTTGTTCCAAAATACCAATTTTATTTAGATGTTTTGTAATTTGATATTGTTGAATATTGAGTTCTTGTTACAATACAGTATAATTCTGGGTAATTTTCGGTGTTAACAAAAAATAAAAATAACTTTGCACCAAAAACTTCGAAAATTATTTCCCTCTTAAAAAAAAGTTGACCGTGGTTAACACCATAGTTGTGTAATTCGCAATATTATAGGCTTCGGAGGTTAACCTACAGGATGCTGTCTATTTATAGTTTTAGCAAATTTTTTTTCGTAGTCCCCATTTTAAAAAAATGGGTAAAAAACTAAAACTTTGCTTGGATGGCCATGACTTGAAATCTAGATGTACTGAACAACTTTTCTGAATAACATTCCCCGATAATTTTCAAAATAAGAGTACTTTACTCCTGTCTCAAAATCAAATATTTGAAGGCTCCTCGTATATTACGTGTGATTTACTGTATTTAGGGGATGCACAAACTTTCATCAGGAATAACTTTTTGTCGAAAAATCCTCAATAAATAAGTTTCCCATATGGTGCGTACTTTGGGGATGACACTGTATATCTCCTCCAAAGACTGACTTCGCGAAGGTTCATAACTTCTGAATAACCGACATTCTGCAACCCATAATACAATTAAATGTATATAATTTCATATAGTTATTCAACTGTTCACTTCATAATCGTGTAATTTATGTGATATTTGCATGATTCTTGGAAGAAGCACCCAAAAAATAATAAGCAAACCGCAGACACGTGTTTCTAGCTCATTGGCTGTCATCAGTACGTTATAGCCAAGTGCAAGGTTAGGCAACACTTGGTTGCAGAAATATCACAATGTCACGTAGATAGCTGAAGCTACCTCGTGGTGACTTCAGTGAAATCTCTAACCCGAGATGACCTGACCAAAACCACAAAGTGCGACTGGCTTCTATTGACTCCATGCATTT